TTGTTTAATTATACTATAATTAATTTTTTCGTAGTGCAACTTTTAACGGCAAAATTTCAAATTATTTACTGACCGTTAGAAAATTTGAATTACAAAAAATCGTTAAATGATAAATCCTTTCTGTATGGAAATTCATTGCAACAAATTATTTAATTATACTATAATTAATTTTTTCGTAGTGCAACTTATAGCGGGAAAATTTCAAATTATTTATTGACCGTTAGAAAATTTGAATTACAAAAAACCGTTAAATGATAAACCCTTTCTGTATGGAAATTCATTGCAACAAATTGTTTAATTATACTATAATTAATTTTTTCGTAGTGCAACTTTTAACGGCAAAATTTCAAATTATTTACTGACCGTTAGAAAATTTGAATTACAAAAAATCGTTAAATGATAAATCCTTTCTGTATGGAAATTCATTGCAACAAATTATTTAATTATACTATAATTAATTTTTTCGTAGTGCAACTTATAGCGGGAAAATTTCAAATTATTTATTGACCGTTAGAAAATTTGAATTACAAAAAACCGTTAAATGATAAACCCTTTCTGTATGGAAATTCATTGCAACAAATTATTTAATTATACTATAATTAATTTTTTCGTAGTGCAACTTATAGCGGGAAAATTTCAAATTATTTACTGACCGTTAGAAAATTTGAATTACAAAAAATCGTTAAATGATAAATCCTTTCTGTATGGAAATTCATTGCAACAAATTATTTAATTATACTATAATTAATTTTTTCGTAGTGCAACTTATAGCGGGAAAATTTCAAATTATTTACTGACCGTTAGAAAATTTGAATTAAAAAAAACCGTTAAATGATAAATCCTTTCTGTATGGAAATTCATTGCAACAAATTATTTAATTATACTATAATTAATTTTTTCGTAGTGCAACTTATAGCGGGAAAATTTCAAATTATTTATTGACCTTTAGAAAATTTGAATTACAAAAAAACCGTTAAATGATAAACCCTTTCTGTATGGAAATTTATTGCAACAAATTGTTTAATTATACTATAATTAATATTTTCGTAGTGCAACTTTTAACGGCAAAATTTCAAATTATTTATTGACCGTTAAATAATAATCCTTTCTATATAAGCATTCATTGTAACTTTTTGTTAATTACACTAAAATTAATGATCTTCTAATCTTCTCATGATCTGTAAATGAACGCAAAATAATTACATAATCAAATACTGATCGCTAACACAAAAATGCGCTTAAGTCCCTCGATCAATAACACGAGGACTTCTGTAATTTTTAATTTATTTTAATTTATGTCACTCGGGTGAGCACCAACGTAAGAATATTCGCGGCATCAGCGCGACAAGATTAGACAAAGATACATGAAATCCATAAAAACCAGATTAAAAGTGGAATCATTTGAATTGTGATTTTTTTTTATGAAACCGCTGAAATTTTATAGCGCTCGCTTATTCCCTACACTTTAGCTTCATCATGTTACATCTTCTTATTGTTTTTTCAGCTTCCTTCCTTTGTGCGTTCATAAACTAGCTTATCATTCTCATTTTATCTCTGATGAGAGTTTAAGCCTTGTTTGCTTGAAGGATTCTTTTCTCTTTTATTTTTATTTTTTTTTTTGATTAGAAAAACTTGTTATGTAAAAAAAATATAACAGAGACACTGACAATCAAGATATGTTGTACAACTTTTTCTTCTCATAATAATTTTTTCTCTCTCCTTTTTTTAAGTTCACTTACAGCAAAAATGTTTTTCACAAAAATTTTACATGACACAGACACAAGAAATTATTAAAATAATATAAAAAAACTTTTTATTTTCATTTTCATCTCATTTTCAATAAAATCACATAAATTCTTATCTAACCATTAATTTGGAACTGCCAGCATTTTTAATTATCATCGACAACCGAGAGTTATTAAATTGTCTGTAACTATTCAATCCTCTTATTTTTTATCCGGCGATGGGAAAAATAACTTTTTAATCACTGATTACTTTTTTTCGGGGCTTTCACGAGCGATGGGAAAAATTTTCCACACGCGACTTGTTCCACGTTCGGTAACTGTATGCTCAAATCTGTACAAAAAAAAATATCATAATTATTTCTCATCTTCTGTGCTTGCGATACGATTTTTCCTGTGAGAAGTTATTCCTGTTCTAAAACAAAATTCTCCCCTCCAATCGCTGACATGAAAAGCTTTTAGAGAGAATTTGAGAGAGCAGGACTTCCAATAAATGAGAGAATTTGGTTGGGTATGAATAAAACTTTAATGCTATGTTCAGCATGTACACGTTCCATCATAAAATAATATAAAAAATATGTTTCAATTTTTTCTTCCCTTTTTTTTCTTGTAATGAATTGATTCAAACTTTAAGCATCAGTATCATTAAAATCCATTTTGTTCTCTTGCTTTTACCCATCCTGATTCAATTGCGTGAACTCATCTCATTTAAAGTTGGTAATGGATCGTTTTGGTATTGAGTAGCGTTGAACAGATCTTTTTAAGGCTACTGCATGAATGAGGAGCCAAAGCGTAACCAGGGGGGTCTTTTCCCCCTTTTAAGCGTTCTAGGACTTGCTATCGATGCGGTTAAAAACGTTTAAGGGGGTACAAGACCTCCTGGCTATGCGTCTGATGAGGAGGGATGTAAGAGGTGCTAAATGAGTCCATTGCCTCAAGCGTCTTGAAATGAGGGGTTGCCAGCGATAAAACCAGATTTAGTCGGCATCTGAGAGAGGACATGGATCACAATTGATCTTTAGGGTCATCAAAGTAAGTAAGGTAGTCTTGAAATAAGAAAGACAAGCTCATACATTTAGGTTACTAATTCATTGCTATGCATCTGACTTATCTACTCATTTAACACTACATTACATACGAACAGCCCCCAAAGGACTTAGAAAAAATGATTTTCTTTTACAATTTTAAATAACTCACAAAAGAAAGAGAAAAAAAAATGTAAATGAAAGGAAAAGTAAAGACTTGTGTCTACTTAAGGAAAGACACAACAAGTCATACAAAGGAAAAGAAAAGCATTTATAGATGGAAGTAACAGGCCATATACTGGGGGTCCTCGATTTGAGTAGTTGTTTTGTTCCAAAAAAATTCTACTCAAATCGAATCTATTCAAATCGAGGCAAAGAATCCATACAAAATCACATGTTTTGTTCCAGAGTCCAAAAAATGTATCAAAACAATGAAAATTTTGATAATTTTTTGCACATTTTACCTCGTTTCTTAGCTTTTCCTATGTGTTTTTGATACCTTAATTTATTTCAACGCATATTCATATTGTTTTTAAACAGATATTCACAAAAAATTTGTTTTTGAAACAAAACAAAAATATGAGAGCCTTGCAAATGTTATTTCACCGAACAATTTGTAGGGTTTTTGAATTTGAACTTTTTAAAACCGTTAATCTTATATCGATTTTTTAAATTTTTACTTTAATTTCGTAACTTTAGTATTGATTTTTCGATCAATATGATAAGTTCACGCTTATTGCAGTAAACTTTATGTTTTAAAAATATTTTCTGAAATGTTTTTATCAAAAATATTTGTTTTGTAAACAATTCAAATCGAAGAAAACAGGAAGAAATCTACTCAAATCGAATATTTTGGTGGGTAAAAAATTTTCTGTTCAAATCGAATCTACTCAAATAGAATCTACTCAAATCGAGGACCCCCAGTAAAGACATTTTAATATAGAAAAAAAATGATAAATTGAAAGAAGAAAACATCTTGGAAAGTTTTTACACGTGTATTTTATTTGAATTTATAAAAAAAAATTGTCAGAACAAGCAGAAAAAAGCAATTTATTGGGAATTTGTGCGAGAAGTTGGAAGTTGTGAAATTGTTTCATTCGATTTTTTGGGAAGCGAAGCTTTAAGAAGTTAAATTTAAGGTTTATTTTAAAAATGTAAAGGAGGGGGGGGGGGGTTAAGATCGTAATAATAATCTTACAATTCCTAGAATCAGTTCCTTTAAAGATCAATAAATTGCTAACACTATAAATCAAGAACGTTGCTAAGTTTCAACTTTTTAAACTCAAATAGGAAGTCATAATAATGCTTAATCTTGTAATTTTATTATAAAATAGTAATTCAGCCGGAACAATCATCAACCCACCTTTCCTAGTAAGAAATTTCTCAAGCGTAGGTTCAACTCAATGTCATTTATTTCAAGTTTAAATATTTCATTAAAGATCTGCTACAAAAAAATATATTACGCGCAATTAAATTCCTAGTACTCACGATATGAAAGGAAACTGCGAGAAATGAAAAGTGATACTTTAAGATTTCATCAAGACCCATCTCAAATAAGAAGATCCCTTTTTTTTCTAGAATGCCCCCCAAAGTGTCTACGTCGATCGAGTTTTTGTACAAAAAAATGTTTAAATTTTATTCAAAAGCAATATATTTTCTCATCGTCTTTAACTTATCAATAAAAATAAAATCCTGCGGTTTCTAAATATGTGCTTTTTGGGAAAATTAAAAGCCGAAACTGAAAACCGAAACCGCAAGAAAGATGGAAGCAAAGCATTTACTAAATGCTCTTTAGAGATTAATTTCTGATGTTTATGCAAAATAAAAAGTATCTGATAACGAGCTAACGAAGAAATATTAAAATATCTATCTGAAGCATATAAATGCTCGTAAAAAGAGAGAAAAAGGAGGAATAAAAAAGGAAAAAGAGCGGAAGATATGTATAATGGAGGTTGATTGTGATGTGAAACAATAGCAACAAGGTATGAAAAAGAATTTGGAATAAAAAAATAAAATTCTTTAAATTATACATCACGTCAAGTGGCATCATGAGAACTTAAATTACCATTTAGGGGTTGTTCTGATGTTAGATAACTGTAAGAATGGAAATGTTGGTCTTTTGCAGGTTTCAAGGGCTGATTATTAAGGCTACTCAAGGTACAATATACTACATAAGAATGTAGCATGTCTTTGTTTGATTTTCCAGTAGTTTGCCCCTGGCAACCTTAATATTCAGCTCCAGGAATCTATATCAGTGCAGATCTTCAAAGCTATGATTTTTCAAAAATTTATTAAGGTTCAAAATTATTGTCACAAGCTACTTGGAGTGTTAATTACAAAAACTTATAATGTGACACGACACTCGCACACACCCCAAAAAGGAAATAAAAAGTTAAAATGTATTTTGTGCTCAACAGCGCGAACAAATTTCCTCCATTTCTTCCTCGTCTTAAATAGTTAATATAATTTATGATGGCAATGTCAACTTTTACACAAAACTAAATTATTGAATCAAATTTTACCCATGGGTGCCATAATGGCACTTTAAAACAGTTTAAAATTTACAACAACATTTATCTCATTTACTTTTTACGTACAAGCTTCGTAAGCACACAAATTATTATGAAGTGAATTGGAACGACATTATGTAGAGAGTCATGTTACAAGGAGCATAACAAAATAAAACAAGTTAAGGTTAATTTAACAAGTTCAAGAGGAATTTCCACTTCGGTTGCTTCCAATTGCCGCACATACAATTGCCTTTGCTGAATTGAGTGTATTTGTAACATCACGAACATCACCGACAAGAGGATTTACTTCGACCAAATCCATTGAAGAAAGGGTTCCACTTCGATGTACCTCTTCCATGAGAAATAGACATTCACGAAGGGTCAAACCGGCACCAGCTGGAGTGCCTGTTGAATTAGCAAAAAGCGGATCCAAGGAGTCGATATCAAAACTCACATGTAATTGCCTATCACCATTCGGATTTATGGCTTTTAATGCCGCATTAGTCACTTTATCGATTCCCATTCTATCAATGTCACGCATATCAAAATATTTTATTCCATATTGCTCCATCATGATGCGTTCATAATAATCTATTGATCTCAAACCAATCCAACAGAAATTCCTTAATGACAGATCCGCCTTACACCATTCAAGTTCGGGTATTGTGGGCCAATTTGATCTTAATTCTTTAACGAGTAAACTTGCTGGCATTCCATGCATATTACCGGTTGGCGAGGTGGTATTTGTATTTAAATCAAGGTGAGCATCAACCCACAAAATACATAAATTATCTGGTGTTGTTGTTCTTAAAACGCCACTAATTGAACCGATTGCTATACTATGGCAACCACCTAATGTTATCGGCATTCTGTTATCCTTAATAATTTTCTCAACTTGATCAGCTAAGGCTTTATTGCAAGCAGCCACATCACTCAAATCATTCAAATTATGAATCTTCCTTCCATTAGTGTTCATTAATTCATAATGAACATCACCATAATCCTTAACATCAATATTTGAGGAAATGTGCTTAATCTCATCAATTAGACCAGCTTCTCGTAGAGCATTCGGTCCTTTATCAGTACCACGTGTCCCAGCACCTAAAATGATGAAATAATTGATAATTAAATTTTATTTATTGTCGATTATAAATTCAATAAATCAACCTTTGTCAAATGGAACTCCAAGAATGCCTATGGCTTTGGAATTAAATGCTCGAGCATGAATACTCGATGATAAATTTATTGGGAATTTATTAAATATTTTCAAAGACCACGACATCTTCGAATGAATGAATAACAAACACTAAATACAAAATTTCAATATTTTTTTGTATAATCAGCTCAATTTTAATCACAACATTTTTGGGACAGAGAGTATTTTTCTATATATGGCATACATTCAAATGATATTCTAATTATATATTTACATTTTCATATATAGATAGCCTTTCTATTCGAAGGTCAATGTTATTGTTGACGAAAAATCATATGTGAGAGATTCTAGAAACTGTCAGCTACAACTGCCTGTAAGAATGTTTTTAAAGATAAGAGATTTCTCTCTTTAAGCTGAATAAGAATAAGTAAAATGGAATGTGTGTTTGTAAACATTTTATACTGTAATAATATTTGTGTTACATAAAGCTAGATTGTTCCTGATTCCCAAACTCTAACTCTTCTACAAGTTTTGAGTTGTAAACTGTAGAACTTACTATGGTGAAAGTAGTCCTTAAAATTTGTGAGTTTATAGGAATTTTCGATTCGTTCGGATTTATGAATTATGAAACTTTCCAAAGGATTGATTCTTCATTTCAGGGAGAAATAAAGTGGCAACTATTAAAATCTTACTAGAGATATCTAAAAGTTCTTAATTGGAGTTTACTTAAGCAATAGTAATCAAAAGGAATGAAGTTTCAAGGTCTCTTCCATCTTTTGAACAAGGGTGCGGAACTGATGAATTGATAAAAAATGTTCAAAATTTATCTGTTCCGCACTCTAGTTTTTGAATCATTTGTTGTAATTTTATGTGACTCTTTATGAACTCGAGAGTTTCGGACTCATCAGAATGATCAAAACTTATCAAGTCAGTTGTTCAATTCCACACTCTTGGTAGAATCTCTCAAATGACTTCCAGAACGCAAAATTCTTTAATTAAGATCGATCATATTGAAGTAACCCTAACAGACAAAGAGCACGCTCTGAACATGCTTTTTAAAAATCAATTATTTAATTTGATGACGCTAAATTAGCGTACTCTCCCATATAAATGGAGATCGCAGTACGGTACCATAAAAATCACGCTCTCAAGAGTACGCTTTTTTTACTTGCAAGTTTTTCATGCAAGTAAAACTTGAGATCATGATCAAGAACATGTTCAGCTGATCATGCTTTAATTTCACTAATTAAAAAATTTTATGAGCTTGTGATTATGCTCTTGATCATGTTTTTCAGAAATTGATATTTTTCTTCTTTTTTGGTGATTGCCGTGATTTGAACCCGAGTCCGCTGTGTTGTGGTATGTCCTAATAACTGTTCATCTTGTCTAATGCCTTCTGAAATTAAATAACTTTCAAATGGCGAAAAGACATATTTAAACTATAGAAAGTCCAAAATAATTTCTTATAATAGTGATTTCTGCTTTCTCTTGTGAAGTATATAGGACCTATACTAGTGATTTCTGCTAGCGCTTGTGAAGTATATAGCAAGGATAATTTGAGCATAATCTCATGAGGATGTCAATGATCATGCTTTTTATATACTCTTTTGATCATGCTCTTGAGAGTATATAAAAGATTATGAAGTAAAAACTTGCATACAAGTTCTTTATAATTAGAAGATGATTGAGTCCGCTATTGAACATGCTCTTTACTGGGATCTTGAGAGGATGTTGAAAAAGCGTATTCTCAACCGTACTCTTGATCAAGAGCATGCTCTTTGTCTGTTAGGGTAAGTTGCTAATTAAATCAGGAGTTCTCAAACAGCATAACGAAATACTAAGATGTGCTATGAGATTTTCATAAATATGTTTAAAAATTCAAATTTTCGCATAGTCGAACATATTCAAAATATTTCTTATTGATAAGAAGATTCTTACGCATCATTTTTTGTGCGTCACATCATCACGTGACTGAAAATAAATAATATCTTCTATGATTATCTCCTACAGCTTATCTTTAAACTTCTTAAATTCCTGTTAAATCTATCTAAAATGCCAAACATAAAACTGACAAATCTCATTCATTATCAATTCATCCATAAATGTATATGTTCAATGCATACACACAAAAATAGACAATATTACAATTGGTATTGGTAGCTAGCGATAAGGCCAGCTTCAGGCGCCATCTAAAAGAAGGCATGGATCACAATTGATCTTTCCGGCCAGAAAAGTAAGTAAGTACACAAAATAAATGCAAGAATAAAGAAATTTTTCATCAAAAAATAAATCATAATTAAAGGAATTAAAACAAGGATTTACCGACAAATTTTAATTTAAAGCTTGTTGCATTTCGCTGGACACCTGTTGATTGCCAAGATTTTGCAGCATTCTTAAACGGTTTACCGAAACAATTTTATTTTCTTCCGAGAAAAATTTCATAAACACCCGACTTTCGTGCTGACATTAATCGAGTTAAATGCGAGCTGAAAAGGAAAATAGAAAACGAGAAAAAGGCAAAAGGAGAAGATTTCATACTAAAACTGAACAACTTTATCAAGCTAGCAAATATTTATCTTGTAGAATTTTTAAGGGATTTGAAAGTTTTCCATCAAATTAAAATAATTTTGATTCCAAGAATAAAATTGAATTTTGATTTTTGAATAGATAAAATCATCGTTCGAGTGTGTTGCCAAGTCTCTTTTAATTAACATGATTAATGAAATCTGCAAAATTTATTTCCATAAAAATATAATATTAAATGTCTTGGCAGGAAGGTAGTCAGGGGGGTCTTGTAAAGACATAAATATGATAAAAATTTAAGAATTTTAATTGGATTATTTGAGAAATTTTTCAAGAACCCCCCATTCCTTGAGATAAGTTGATTCTTGAGAATCTATTAATACTCGTTACATAAAGTAATTAAAAATTAATGTTTGGTTGGAGGGGTGGAGTAGGTAAATTACTTAACACGAGGCTTACATAGGAAAATTTTTCATATTATATTTTCAAATATAAACAAATGAAAAAGTATTTCAAGTGTTTCCACGAATAAAAAAAAAGTACATAAAAGAAATAAAAATTTAAATTTATCGTACAAAGACTGAATAAACGGAGTTGAAATTCATATATGAAGCAGAGATAAGAAAAAGCTTTGAAGCAAATATTTGCAAATATTTCAATTTCATTTGAATTAAAGGGGCTCCTTCGCATACATTCAATAAAAGTGCTCTTATGTCATTTTCATGAACCTTTCAAGAAATGGAATGAAAAAAAATGATTGTATTCATACGTACATGTATGTGGATTGATGATTGTAGGATTTTTTTTTTGTGAACAAAAGAGGAGAGAATTCAATCATTCGTATAATATTCTTTTTTCGTTATTTAAAATTATATTTAAACCAAATTCATATTTTTCATGTTTGAAGAATAAACAATTAAAATGTCACATGAAACATATACGCACGTCATACACCTCCAGTGATTCCTATTTTCCCTGTTTAGCTTCGCATGAAGAAGAGTTGAATAAAAATTGATCAAATTTCAATGAATTATTATTGTTGATTGAATATTGAGCTATGATTAGGGTGACCATCTTATTTTTATGAAAATACAGGACATTTGATAAATTTACTACAAAATACAGGACACAAAGGAAAATTTGAAAATTACCGGAAATTTTCGTGAAAAAAATAAAGGACCTGGAACAAAATTTTCAAATTTATACCGGACAGGGTTTTGAAATACAGGACTGTCCGTTGTAAAACTACGCAGATGGTCACCCTAGCCTATGATTCATCATTTATGAAGCACTTTTGAAGCTGAAATGAATAAAAACACTTAAAACTTATATAAAGTTAATAGTTGATCTTTTTGAAACTATTGAAGTGTTTAGCTCCGACTATGAACGGAAGATCTGAAGCAAAGCTAGAGTTTTAAGACAATTCGATCAAAGAATTTCATTTTTAGCATTGTAGAAAACAGCCAGCCCAAAATCCAAATAGTAAACTCCCAAATACAAAATTGTTACATAATTAATTCAAATCAAATTTATTTTGCAAAGATTCAATTTCAATTTAATAAAATTTTAAATAAAACCTCCAGAATCAACTCCGTAACAGACTTTATGCTGTTTTTAAAGTTACATAAAAATTTTACTTCAAATATAAATTATTCGAACATTAACAAATGTAATTCTAATGAAAATTTCAAGGTTTCAGTTTTAATAATTCAATTTTCCTCATATTTTAGCAATAATCATTCAATATGAATCTAACTTAATTATGCTGTTATTGATTTATATCGATTTATTCGTGTAGAAGCTATTTAAAAATTCATTAGCTCGCTTGTTGATAATTATTCTGATATAAATGTCAATATGAATTAAGTGAAGTTTAATGAAATAAATTATTTGGCAAATTTTCTTGGATTTTAAGGTTACTTACTTGCTTACTTCTTTGGCTGGGGCGCACGTGGGCTCATTACCGCGTTCAGAGATCATCTAATGACAGCCTTATCCTTCGAGACCTGTTGCCAGTTTGGGATGTTATACTCTAGTGTCCTTATCAACACATCCACATTTTAAGGTTACTAGAGAATTTTTTAATGCTTTCAGTTAAAATTTTAAAGTAATTCAATGTCTTTTGAGTGTGAAATGCAATTGCCAATTTGAGTATTATTGAGTAATTTATTCATTGAAATGTTCAATACGGGTGGAGGAGGTAAAATGTAAAATCAAAAGCTTGTAAAAATGTCATTTTTACTCATTAATGCACATCGTTTGAGCGCTCAATGAAGGAAAAAATATAATTTTAAAAATTTATGTCAACGATAAGCCTTTAATGGACAAAGCGTCCATAGGCTATTTGAATGCAGTATAACTTTATTAATTTCAAAAATGTGCATCATATACATACATACATGTCCTGATGCCGTGCTAAAATATTCCTTTTCATAAATAAAAATCAATTTCAAACATATTTTCATGTCATAACAGTTTATTGTTGCAACGAGTGTACACAATTTTCAATATCGAAGACTGAATGGAGAGTGAGTTAAAAAAAATGAAATTTCAGACCCGATTAAAAATAGTCATCTATAGAAAGTGTCAGCAGTTATTAGCAATTATATTTATAGGATGATAGTAATATAAGAGTATTATGA